AAATGAGAAATAAGAATTTGGTTGTTCTAAGGCCACACCCAGTGGTGCTCTGGGACCACTCTAGGCATGTTGCTCAGAGTTTTCTCGGGGTGGCATTTAGGGGACAATGTGGTGCAAAAGACCAAATCTGGGCCTCCCACAAGCAAAAGAAGAATAATACTAGTCATTTGAGTTATCACGCCAGCCCTAGATTCTTTTTGTTGTTGTTTGTGGGCCACATCTATCAGAACTTAATCCTAGCTATGCACTCAAAGATCACTTCTGGAAGGCTGGGGTATCATATAAGGGTGTCGTGTAACAGGGATCAAACACAGGTCTGCTGCATGCAAAGCAAGCATCCTGTCCACTGTACTATTGCTCTTTTCCCAAAAGTTTTGGGAAGTAAAACCTATTCATTTCATCAAACAAATCAAGAAGCATTTAACTTGGCATATGAAAAATTTTTAGGGGTTATATGATTAATGAAAAAACTAATGCTTTCTCCCTGTATTATAAACAAATCAAGGATGCCCTCCATTATCTATTTTATTCAATAATTCTCTGAGTGTTCTAGAAAATGCTAGATTCCTCCGTCCCTTGCCCCAGAGCCTGGCAAGCTACTGAGAGTATCCCGCCTGCACGGCAGAGCCTGGCAAGCTCCCTGTGACGTATTCAATATACCAAAAACAGTAACAAGAAGTCTCACAATGGAGACATTACTGGTGCCTGCTCGAGCAAATTGATGAACAACAGGAGGACAGTGCTACAGTGCTAGAAAATGAATGCAAAGGAAGTTGAAATTATTTAAAGCAAGTGTGCAAGAAGAAATGACATCTGTACCTATATGTTCACAGGTCTCATTCCCCTGACCCTGAAAGCGCCTCCAATCATTGGGAAAAGACGAGTAAGAAGAGGCTGCTAAAATCTTAGGGCTGGGAGGAATAGAAACATTACTGGCACCCTCTCAAGTAAATTGATGAACAACTGGACGACAGTGATGTTCATTGCAGCACTGTTCACAAAAGCCAAAATCTGAAAATAACCCAAGTGCCCTAGAACAGATGACTGGTTAAAGAAACTTTGGTACATCTATACAATGGAATACTATGAAGCTGTTAGGAGAGATGAAGTCATTAAATTTGCTTATAGGTGGATAGATATGGAGAGTATAGTGCTAAGTGAAATGAGTCAGAAAGAGAGGAACAGACATAGAAGTACTGCAATCATTTGTGAAATAAAACATGAGACTGATACCCAAGGAGAGTAGATACAAGGGCCAGGAAGACTGCTCCATAGTTGGAAGCCTGCCTCATGATCAGGGTGTGGGGGGTGAGGGAGAAGGAAGCTGGAATAGAGAAGGAATCACTTAAGAAAATGATGGTTGGAAGAATTGGTAGGGATGGGAGATGTGTGCTGAAAGTAGATAAAGGACCAAACATGATAACCTCTCAGTGTATTATAAACCATAATGCCCCAAAGTAGAGAGAGTTTGGGGAAATTTTGTCTGCCATGGAGGCAGTGGGAGGGTGGGAAACGGGGGCTATAGTGGGGATAATAGTGCTGGGGAATGTGCACTGGTAGAGGGATGGGTGTTTGATCACTTTGTGATTGTAACTCAAACATGAAAGCTTGTAACTATATCTCACGGTAATTAAATAAAATAAAAATATAATTAAAAAAATAAAACAAGAGGGCAGGGGCATGGGGATGGAGTTCAGTGGTAGAGCATCCACTTTGCCCTGAGTTTGAGCCCTGACACAGCCTCACATTGCTTAGTTAGATCCCTAGAACCACTCACTGCTATTGCAATCCCTGGTGCACTGCAACCAAGCATGTCTGAACATTGCAACAAAGTGTATGACTTAAATGTACAAGTACTGCAAATAAAAACCTGGGCCCTAGCACCATGGCAAGTTTGTGATCCCTATGCATGTAACAAGGATAACAATAACAAATAAGGCGAGGCATACAGAGTAAATTATCCCTCATTTTAGAAAACAACATTGAGTAGCTAGAAGATAATAAGAAATTTGTTAAAAATCAACAAGTTATATTCAAACTGGAGCAAGTTATATTCAAACAAGTTATAAATTCAAACTGGAGCAAGTTATATTCAAACTGGGCTGATAGCACAGCGGTAGGGTGTTTGCCTTGCATGCAGCCAACATGGCCGACCTGAGTTCGATTCCTCCGTCCCTCTCGGAGAGCCCGGCAAGCTACCCGTGATGTATTCGATATGCCAAACACAGTAACAGCAAAGCCTCCAATGGAGACGTTACTGGGCCCGCTCGAGCAAATTGATGAACAACTGGAGGACAGTGATATTCAAACAGTTGGAAACGGAAATAAAAAAGCATTCCCAAATGTAAAATACGACTCAAAACAATCAGAGAAATTAATGAATTAAATAGAGAAATATACTGCTCCAAAAGATCAAGTTTCAACTAATGCTAAGATAAATATATCCTCAAATTTAACTACAACTCTTAAGTAGTTCCTATCAAACTCACAGACTTACGTAGAAACTCACAGGCTGATTCTAAAATTTATAAGAAAAAATAAGGAATAAGTTGACAGAAAAACGTTTGAAAAAGCATAGCAATTTTGAAGGACTTCTATTACCTGATTCCAGGACTTCTTATGAAGTTAGCATAGTAAAAATCTTTTGGTATTGTTCTAATTAGATATGTAGATCAATAGAATAGAATATGGAAATCTAGCTTTAGACATTTGATTTTGGGAAAGGTGCTAAGGCAAAATGAACCATAGACTTAAAGGTAAATCATAAATCTTTTTAACTTCAAGAATAAAACTTGGGGAGAAATCTTAATGACAGTGGGTTTAGCAAAGATTTCTTAAATCCATGGAAATGATTAAATAAAAAAAATAACACTAAGGGGTGGGAGTGATAGTATATTGGGTAGGGTGCTTTCCGTGCATGTGGTTGACCCAGCTTTAATCCCTGGCACCCTGAGTCCCTGATCCCTGAGGGGCATAGCAAGGAGTAAGCCCTGAGCACCACCGGATGTGCACCCCCCTTAAAAAAAAGAATCCCACCAAAACTCACATTCACATATTGGATAGAATCAAAATTTCCAAAAATTGTTCTTCAAAAGAGACTATTACCAAATTAAAATCCTGAAGAAAATACTTATGAAATACGCTATCCTTTATCAAATATATCCAGAATATAAAAAAGTAATCTAAATAAAAATGAGATAAAAAGACAAATCAATCAACTGGGGAAAAGACCAGGTTCTATCCCCAGCATCCCATATGGTCCCCCAAGCACTGCCTGGAGTAAGTCCTGAGTGCAGAGCCAGAAGTAACCCCTGAGCATCTCTGGGTGTGACCAAAAAAAGCAACAAACAAACAAATAGACTTAACAAATGTCCAAGATAACATCACATATGGTAACCTAAGATCCACCAGTAACCCCTGAGAAAAGAACTAGGATAAAACCCTGAGTACTGCTGTTATGACCCAAAATCCTAAAAAAAGTAAAAGTGGGTAAACTGAAGTTGATGTCCTTATTACGAAGGTTTTGGGGCATGGAGAGTTGTCCTAGTGTAATACTGATCTTTGGCTCAGTTTCATGACCCTTCACATTTTTCTGCACAGTGAGGGATCAAATATGATGCCCTGCCTTTTAGGTTTTCAGGGCACACCTGGCAATGCTCAGTATATAATCCAGACTCTGTACTCAGAGATATATATGTGGTACTTGGAATTGATTGGCAAATTGAATTTGGAATTGAAGGCAAGCCCCTCAATTCCTGTACTTTCTATGATTCTATTTTTCAAAAAACTATAGAAAATAAAGGTAAAGGTAAAGGTAGAGGCCCTCCCATTGATCGTCGATTTGCTCGAGCGGGCCCAGTAACGTCTCCATTGGAGACTTTGTTGTTACTGTGTCTGGCATATCGAATACTCTCGGTAGCTTGCCGGGCTCTCCGAGAGGGGCGGAGGAATCGAACTCGGGTCGGCCATGTTGGCCGCATGTAAGGCGAACGCCCTACCCGCTGTGCTATCGCTCCAGCCCATAGAAAATAAAAGAGGTATAAAATGATAGAATGCAGATTAATAGTTAGTCAAAGTTGTGGGGACAGAGTAAACATGAAAAGGAAGGGACAGATTAAAAGGGGGTACGAAGGAAATTTTAGTCCTGATGGACAATGACGCTATCTTGAGTGGTAATGACTACCATGCCAAAACTTATTAAATTGTACATATTCAAATACATAGAAAATATTTTATGTTATCATATCTCAAGAGCACTAATAAAAACAAACAGAGGGCTAGAGAGATTGTACCGGGTAAAGGCACATGCTTTGATTCTACCCAGTCCTGGTTTGATCCCCTACACCACATGGTCCCCTGAGCATCACCTATCCTTGGGTCCTAGCATTAAACCATTGGCCTAGTTGGTGGAGAATTGCTGGGAGTGGCTCTTGGACTCCCTGAGCAGCACATGGGGAACACACTCCACTCAGTAATAAAATGTTTTTAAAAGCACACTTAAATATAAACAGAGTTTGTAGAAGAGATACCTCAATGGGCTAGAGTACACGTAAGAGACACAGGCTCTATCTCTGGCATCACTTGGTGCCCCAAAGCACTACCAAATGCAGCTCAAAACCCAACCAACCAAACAGAAAAACATAAATAGAACCTCAGTGAAGACAGAAATAGGAGGGAATTCTCTCATACTTGAATAATCATTCAAAGACATATTTTTTTTGGGTTTTGGACCACACCCAGCTGTACCCAGGGTTTACTCCTCGTGGTGCTCAGGGTATACTATGCAATGCTGAGGACAGGATCCAGGTTGGCTGTATGCAAGGTAAGTTCCTTACCCACTGTACCATTGCTCTGACCATCAAAGATATTCTTATCTTTAGGAAATAGGCAATCAAAAGTAGAATTTCATATTCTATAGTGTTTACTTCCAGATGAAAAAAAATTATTTCCCCCCTATACCCAATGAACACATGAGAAGTTGCAGTTCAAACTGTCAATACCTTTACTCGAGCTGCAGTGCTTTCTGTCCCACGGCTCTGAGTCTCTTTGCGTTTATCTGCCACCTCCTGCTGTTTTTGGAGAGCATCCTTAAGACGCTTGTTGGCTGCGGCTGCCTAAATAAAAAGTTCATATTAATGCATTATTTAATGGTAGAAAGAATATTCTCATTCCTGCATATTTGCAAAGAAAAAGTTCCATTGTTTGGAATTCCTATAGGAACTGAGTTTGTAAATGTCCATGCAAATAATACTGATGAAAAATTACTGCTTTCGAGTATAGACAGAACACAATGGCCACTCAATACCTCTATTGCAAGTCACAACATCCTATAGGAAAGAGAGAGCAAAAGGGAATGCTCTGCCACAGAGGAAGGGTGGGGTTGGAGGAGAGGGGGTGGGAGGGTGGGAGGGCTACTGGGTTCATTGGTGGTGGAGAATGGGCACTGGTGAAGGGATGGGTACTCCATCATTGTATAACTGAAACCCAAGCATGATAGTTTGTAAGTCTACAACTGTACCTCATGGTGTTTCACTAATAAAAATAAATAAATAATAAAAAAGAAAAATGACTGCTTTCTGGGCTGGAGCGATAGCACAGTGGGTAGGGCTCTTGCCTTGCACTTGGCCACCCTGGGTTCAATTCCCAGCATCCCATATGGTCCTCTGAGCACCATCAGGAGTGATTCCTGAGCACAGAGCCAGGAGTAACCCCTGAGCATCACTGGGTGTGACCCAAAAAGCAGAAAAAAACAGAAAGAAAAATTACTGCTTTAGAGTTTAGGGTAGGCAAACATTTTAAGGAAATACTGAGGATAAGGGCTGGAGCGATACAACAGCGGTAGGGCATTTGCCTTGCGCACAGCCAACCCGGCCGAGCCAAGTTCCATTCCTCCACTCCTCTTGGACAGCCTGGCAAGCTACCGAGAGTATCTCGCCCGTGCAGCAGAGCCTGGCAAGTTACCAGTGACGTATTCAATACGCCAAACACAGTAACCACAAGTCTCAAAATGAAGACGTTACTGGGCTTGCTCGAGCAAATCGATGAACAATGGGAGGACTGAGGATAAAAGCTACTCAGAAATGTCACCTACCAATATTCGATATGCCAAACACAGTAACACAGTAACAATATTACTCTGGAATTTTTTGGGAAACAATTAAACCCCATTTGAAAAAATATATTTATTTGAACAGTACCATTTCACCCATTTTAAATCTGCTGATAATTCATGACACATGAAAAAAGGCTCACAACTTAGGAATTACTGGTAAAGATTCTTATCCCTGATTCCTCAGGACATTGGCTCATTTAAGGCATACTAGTTCATCAGTATCTAAACACTTGGCCCAACAGATCAAAATTTCTTACCTCCTCAGTTTTACGTCTGAGCACATTAGACTGTTTCTGGAAGTTTCTTTCAAGTTTGAGCAGTTCATATTGCCTCTTACGGTCCTGAGAAGAAAAAGGTCAGACTTTTGTTTGTGTTCTTTTGGCTGGGCTACTATTGGTTGGGTCACATCATATGTGATATGCAGGATTGAATCAGGATTGGCTGCATGCACGGACAAGTGCCTAGATCCCTATACTATCTCTCTGGTCCTTACTGTAGCATTACTTATAGAAGCTAAAATATGAAGTAACAAAAGTGCTTGCTCATAGATGATTGGATAAAAAAAGCTATGGTACACTTTTTGTTTTGAGGCCATACCCAGTGGCGCTTAGGGATCATTCCTGGCTCCCTGCTTAGGACTCACTCCTGGCAGGCTCAGGGGATCATATGAAATGCTGGGAATCAAACTTGGGTCAGCTGTGTGCAAGGCAAGCATGCTACCTGCTGTACTATTGCTTCAGCTCCAAGAAGCTGTGGTACATTTTATACCTTGGACTACTACTCACTACAAAAAGATGAAAGTATGTTATTTCAACAAAATGAACATAATGAAAGGAGCTCAAGGGAAGCAAAAAAGAAGGAAAAAGACTAGCGTTTGGAGAATTTCTACCCATGTGTGCATATATAAAATTAACGAACAAAACAAAACCAAAATAAAAATAAAAGAAAAAGAAAAAGCAGTGAACATTTATAGTAGAATTGAAGTTACCTGAGAATGGGGTATAGTGAAAAAATACTATAAAGCTAGCAATTCCTTAGGGTAAGAATGAGCTAGACAGATGACTATAAAGATTGTTGTCAGGCTTTTTCTACTCTGGAGTAAACTATGTTCTATATTGAACATGTATTCTTCTCCTCTCATACTTCTCTTAGTAAAGTTCTTTAAATAAAAACTATTTTGCTTCACTAAAAAGGTTGTCTATCTCAAAAAAAAATTCAGATTTTAAATTCAGCCTAGTCAAATAAAACCATATAATATAAAGTGTCGTTCAATGGTACAGTCATTACGGAAAACAGTACAGAAGCTCCTCAAAGTAAAAACAGAACGTCCACATGATGCAACATTTCTACTATTGGACATATAGTCAAAAAAATAAGAGTCTCAAAGAGATATTTGCATTTCCATGTTTGTCACAACATTACTTATAGTAACTAAGATGTGGAAAAAACTAAATGTTTACTAATGGTGAATGGATAAAAAAATGGAGTACATGACTATGTCTTTCTTAATGAGATTTGGATGGGGATGTTGGAAGAAATATGTTGTTAGGTGCTTTTGCTCTTGTGTGACAATCACAGAGATGCATGAAGCTGCTGCAGGTGTAAGCAACTTTACTACAGCTACAAGATCTCTATAAGCAGCAGGGATTTGGACTCATTGATATATATCCAAATCTGTTGTAGATTAAATCATCATTATGCAATACAACAATAATATTCAGCCACAAACGTGAAGAAAATCTTGCCATTAGCAACAAGGATGAGACTGGACATAATTATGCTAAATGAAATAAACCAAAGAAAGACATAAACTATATGATCTCATTTTTATGTAGAACTTAGAAAATAATTGAAGTTACAGAAGTAGAGAGTAGAACAGTGCAAGGACGAGAAAATAGGGAAAGGTTGGTTAAAGGGTACTTTCAGTTTTAAAATAAAATACATGATTTTAGGTATTTAGAAATGATTTTAGATATTCTCGTGTGGTGAGAATGGTAGCTATGTGAGGTGATGGGTGTGTTGATAGCAGAAAATGTAAAATCTTCAAATTTCTTCTTTTATGATTTTGATTATCCTGGTTTTATTCTTGTATTTCACACTCAGCTCCCAGGAGAGAACAAGGCAGAGTCTCCTACCCTGTGCCTGACTGTCTGCATCAGGGCCCAACAGCTGAAGACCTCCGGGCCCCAGCCAAGGCCATGCTGGGACCACTCTCCACACACTTGGATGAGCCTCACGCATAAAAGAACTGGCAGAGGAACCCAGGTGTGTGGGACCCGGGGCTGAGATCTCCAAGCCTGCACGGTTTGGGACTGGACCTGCCAGTAGCTAGACAGTTACACCCACCAACTGCCGTGTAACCCCAACAACGGCCAGGATCCAGAGATTATCACACTCAGCTCCCGGAATTATCATCTCATTCCTACTTTGGACAAACTGGCAGGCTACCGAATGTAACCTGCCCACATGGCAGAGTCTGGCAAACTCCCCGTGGTATACCCAATATGCCAAATACCAGTAACAATGATGGGTCTCATTCTCCTAATCCTGAAAGAGCCTTGAATATGGCACTTTAAAAAAAAAATCTCAGGGTTAGGACGAAGGAGACCTTACTGGGGCCTGCTCGAGGCAATCGACGAACAACAGGATGGTCGTGATCGTGATCGTGATGATTTTGATTATCCTGGTTTTATTCTTGTATTTCCATCAGAATGTCACAAAAAGCAACTTTAATAAAGAAGCCAGACAGAACTGTCAATTGGATTAAATCGAATCTAAATCAATTTGGGGAGAATTCCTTCTGAAGGTTATTAAGTCCTTCCATTTACAAACATTGGGTTATATTTTTATTTATTTAGAACTTTATTTAATTCCATGACATTTTTTTCAGTTTTATTTATTTCTGGATCACACCCACAGGTACTCAGGGCTCACTCCTGGCTCTGCACTTGGGGGACCATATGGGGTGCTGGGTATGAAACCTGGGTTGGATGTGCACAAGGCAGTACTCTACCTGCCATACTACTTATCTCTTTGAGCCCAGATTTATTTATTTTGGGGACCCGAACCTGGCAGTGCTAAGGGGTTACTTTCAGCAAAGTGCATAAGAAACACATGGTGCGGGGAAATGAACACAGTCCTCCTTCATGCAAAGCACATTCTCAGGCCCATTAATTTCTTTCCAACCCTATGTAATTTTCGATGAGTAAGTCTTATGGTTATTTTTTCTCACAGATGGGGATTGAAGCCACTCTGGAGAAACCCATGTTCTCTATTGAATATGTATTTTTCTCCTCTCACACTTAGTACATTTCTTTAAATAATAATTATTTTGCTTCACTAAAAAGAAGGTTGCATCAAAAAGAACGAAGGCCTTACAAATGCAAGGCAGGTGCTACACCACTAAGTTATATCCCTGGTTCTTTAAAAAAAACTGGGGGTGGGTGGGTGGGAAGGAGAGATAGTAAGGCATTTGCCTTATATGCTTGGCTACCTGAATGGCTCCCTTTGCACTGCCAGCCGCACTCATTCCTGAGTGCAAAGCCAGGAATAACCTCTGGGCACAGCCACGTGTGGCCCAACCTTCCCCAAAACATTTAAACATTTTTTGCGGTGCCTACTGGCACTTGACTACAAGTTTCATGCATGCGTGGTATGTTCTTCACAATCCCAGCAAAGTCTTATACTTCTTTTATTAAATTTATTCCCAAGGAGAGGGCACGCATCCTGTGGTCCTGAGGAGTGATTCCTGGCTCTGTTACTCTGGGGAACAGTTCAATGTCAGGATTTGAACTGGGTTTGGCAAGTGAAGTACTTTTTAAAAAAAATTTTTGAGCAAGTAACCTCTGAGTGCTGTAGCTTGTTCCCACCACTACCCTGCCATAAATAGAAAAAGCTGCATGTAATTCACCTGTGGATCCTTACAAATGCTATCTTCAGGTAGGGCAGGCTACTGAGGGGGAGAACACAGGTCCTGGTGTCCCCTTCAAAAGGCAACCACTTTAAATGCTGTATTATTTCTCTGCACCCCCCCAAGTAATAGTCTTATTATAAATGTTACTGTTTACTTTATTCATTTTCAAATTGTCAGCAGCTAGTATAGAAACATACAACTGATCTTTGTACAATCAAAATTATATCCAAAATACTTTTGAGCTCATGTCAATTCTAACAGTTTCTATAGGAGATTCTCTAGGATTTTCCACATAGAAAAGAATGTCATCCACTAACAGTTCTGCTTCTTTCTTTCTAATCTACATGCTTCTCATATATTTCTTGTATAAGATTTATTGGTATATTTTTATTTTAAAAATACAGCATCAATAACAAAATTTCCTCTAAACACTGCTGTTAGATACAATTTCATAACTTCTGATGTATGATCTTTGTTTTTTCTCTATTTAAATTTTTCCTTGTATTTTTTTATTTGACCCTTTATTTAAAATTCCGTGGCTTAGGAGCCAAAGACATAGTACAGGCATTAAAGCACATGCTTTGTATGTGCTGACACCGGTTTAATCCTCAGCACCATATGGTAACCAGAACACTTGTAGGTATACAAACCTGTAGGTCCCGAAAAGCACCACTGGCTGTAACCCTGGAGGCCCTAAAGCACTCCTAGAGTAGCCCAGGTAATCCTGGCACCACAAAGCCTGAGGAGTACCAGATCTTCAGGCTCTTGCATTGGAATCACTGGCCCAGTTGGCCAAGAATTGCTGCGAGGGGCCATCAGATCTTCTGAGTACCACTTGCATTTATGAATTTTCTACTTCCTTTGGTGGAAATTTTTTTCTGAGGGAATGCCAGGAATTAATTCCAGGACCCCATACATGTGAGGCATATTCTATACCACTGAGATACATCCCTTGCCGGTAAGTGATTTATTTCATTTCACTGTGATTGGTTAACATACTTAGTGCATTTCATCAGTATAGCCACTTCAGATATTTTATGATTGATGTTCGAAAGGTAGATTTTTCTCTATTCTTTTAATTTGTTAATTCTGTGACAACAAGTTTTGTTATAGATTTTGTTTTAACCAGGTCTGACTATCTCTGCCTTATATAGACTGTTTAATCCAGTCACAGTGAAATACAGAAACAGTAATCCCATACAAATTTGTTCTCTGTTCACCTTATTTTGTGTTACTGTTATCTGTCTGCAACTCCCTCAAATTACTATAGTTATCATTTCATATCATTTATGTTTCTTAAATAGGCTACAATGAAAAGAAAGCAAGAATAAACAGAGTTTCATTTATAATTTTTATTTTACTTATTTATTAGTGGCAGGTGGGGAGCTACACCTAGTAATGCTCAGGAGCTATCCCTGACTCTGTGCTGAAGAGTGACCACTGGCAGTGCTTTGGGGACCACATTACTTAACTGCTGCACTGTCTCTTGAGGCTCCACAGTTGATTCCTATTTGCCATTTCTGGTTCTCATTTCTTTCTCTATATTTACGTTACAAGCAGATGCTACTTAACGCAAATACAACACTCTAGTGGTGCTTGGGGATTATATGTAGTGTCAGGCATCAAATAGGTCAGTCATGTGCAAGGTGCCTTAAATTCTATGCTATCCTCTCCCCTCTCCTTCTCTCTCATTGCCACAGTCTGCTGTGTCTATATCTCTGTGCTCAGAGATCACTCCTGGAGATGCTAGGTAGTCCATATGCAGTGCTGGGGATTAAGCTAGGTTGGTTAAATGTAAGGCAAGCACATTAACTCCTGTACAGGAGTAACAGACATTAAAGATTATTTTTATGAAAATAATGTAATGGTCCCTAAACATTATTTTCCGACCTTGTACTTTGGCTTACAGCTTCTCAATATTCCAGTTTGTTGCATATATTACTCCCAGATGTTAAAAATCTTTACAGTTCTAATAAAATTAAGTTAAAATTTAATGGATCTATAACAATCCAGTTTTAACTTGTCTTTCCAGTGAAATCTTGATCCAACCTGGACCATTTCCTGTTCCAGAAATGTGCCTAAATAGTTGTCATCTCTGTGGCATTTTCCTGCTGACCCAATTATCTAGAATGTTTGCACCTATCTTAATAGCCTCCGTGATCAGTTCCTATTCAGCCATCATTTTATTAACCAATTAAAACAATTTTAGTTTATTATTATTAATTGAGATTGGTTTATAATACTGTTAATAATGGTTTATGATTCACAAACTTCCAACTTGTTTTGGTTTGGGGGCCATCCAGAGGTGTTCAGGGCTTACTTCTGGCTCTGCACTCAAGAATCATAAATAGTGCCAAGGATCAAACTCAGGTTAGCCATGTGCAAGACAAGTCCCCTACTTATATACTATCTCTCCAGCTTCTCAATTAGTAAACTTTTCCCCCAACTAGAAAACACTTCCCTTTCTTAATTACTTTTCATATCATTCATAAAGACCAGATATCTTTATACTTTGTTCTGCAGAAAACCATTCATGTATTTTACGTTCCCCATTGGACAAGGCATTCTTGATTGATAGAAGTCATTTGCTGTATTATCTATTCCCCAAGACATTTAGTCCATAGTAGACATTTAATCGCTTTTTAATGCATGAATGTATCACATTTTTGGAGATGCCAGTTGTTTGAAGGAAAGATTTAATATTAACCTACAGCAGTTTTCAAAGGCAACAAATGGGAGAACATATCTATGCAACTGAGTATGGAGGTGTAGTTTGAAAGGGAGAGCCATTAGGGTCGTTGGGCAAGGGAGGTGGGTACACCAGTGATGGATGTGGTGTTGAAATTATGTGCATAGCAAACCATAATTAACAGTACTGTAAATCACAGAACCTAGATCAATTAAGATAATCTAGAGCAGGTTTTCAGATAAGGCATTATCAGGTGGGCCTTTAAGAAATTATTAGTTACTTACTCGCTCTTTCAACTGGATCACTTCTTTGTCTTTTTGATGCTTCCACTGTCTAAACTTCTCACCATCTTCTTTCATCTGACGCATTAACCGTACCCGCTGGTTTTTCATCATCTAAAGAATAAACACCAGTACAAGTATTAGTCATCTGCACTTTATTTTAGGCTGATGTGATAAACCAACCATTAAGAAGAGAGAAAATACATAGCTAAGCTGAGAAGGCCACTAACAGGTTTTCTGATGAGGCTTGAAATTCCCTTTGCTATGCTTGCTTGCCCCAGGCTTCCTAGGATAGACTATGCAAATGAGCACTCTGAAGAATAAAAAGTAACTATACTCTAAATATGGCCCTAAGTCCATTTTATATAAATGGAAATAATATTTCAAAGAAACATCTACTAAGCTAAAAGGAAAATTCTTCACTGCATCCATTTAATTCTAAAATTTTCAGTACACATAACCTGTAACCACCTATTTGCAGGTATCAGAACCTTCTGTATCAAACTTCAATCTTTTTCAAATGTCTTGCAATTACTTTATGGAATTATTTCACATGATTGTGGAAGTTAGTCAGCACACAAAATATTAAGGTGACTTTGCCCTTTGGTGTCAGAGAATCTAACAAACTCTCGTTATGAAGATCATGACCACCAACCCAACATTCTGAAAAAGGAACATATATGGAGACTTGCATGCTTGAAATGATGGATTCTGCCTACTATTTTCTCACCTGAAAACAATTCTATAGCATAATTCTAAATGAAACACCTGAGCTTTTAGATTTTAATAAGGAGTATGCAAAGATGAGTTTATTATCTGAGAATCTCTCTCTGTAACTCCCCCCTCCCTCTTCCTCTCCTCTCTCTGCTTTCTGGGGTCACACCTAGCAGTGCTTACTCCTAATGAAGTTCAGGGGACTATATGGGGTTCCAGGGATTGAAACTAGATTGGCTGAGTGTGCAAGGCAAACACCCTACCAGTTGTACTGTCATTCCAGCGCCTACCTGTATCCCTTTTTAAAAAGATATTTTTATTGACTCACTGTGAGAGAAACCCTTACAAAGCTGTTCATGATTAGGTTTCACTCAACACCCATCCCTACCCGTATCTCTTGATTCAATTTGGAGACCGTATGCTCTGTGGATTCCTTCAGTTTCAGGAGTTTGGACTGTTCATTCAATTTCTTCTTCAGATCAGCTATTTGCCCCTCTAGTTCTTGGAGACGTTTGCGGCGGCGCTCACTCAACCTAAAAGACAAATGAGGGAGAAACGAATATTACTGGCAGCAAAGCATAATTTTTAAAGACATTAATAATAGACTCCTAAGTTCATAGCCCTATTATATATAATGGCTGCTCGATCACATAGTCATTTAAGTCACGAATACCACCCAAACAAACAACACTACCTTAACAATGGGAGCTTAATACAAAGACTAAGATGATTTTTTGGCATATATAACAATGCAATTGCCTCAATACACCAATCCTTCAACACTCTATGTGAAAAGGATGGTTCCTTGAAGGTTCCTCATTTCATGTTAGCTGCAAAGAATAAATCTGATTCTTGCATTCTGAGGTAGAATGCGAACATTCAGGATAACTTAAGAATCTAAGTTTCAAACTCAATAGAGATATAAAAGAGTCACCAAGTAAAAAGAAAATAGAAAAAGTCAATACAATAGAATACTGAGGAATAGGGAGGATATTTTGATTATCTGTCTTGGTTTTACTCCTAATGAAGTGATGACTAGATGGAGTATTCAGTTTCTAGCTTGTATATTAATCCTACTCAGAAGCTATTTTTATCATAAGTGCAGAGAAAACGAATCTGTTGCTATTGGGTAGGTCTAGTAATCTTTCAAAAGCCAGATCAAATGCTAACTTTCTCTAAAGCCTTCCCTGACCATGTCATCCTGAACAGATATCTCCTGTATCAAAACTTCTGAACAACTAATATCTAAAAAACTTATTTGGCTACTTATGATAAGTTGTAATACAGACTTGTTTAATTGTCATCATGTGAATTTTAAAATCCCTATAATGAACTTTTCTTTTATTTAAGTATATTATACTCAACTAAATTTAAATCCTATGAGGATAGGAAATGACTCGTTCATTGCTCTCTCTCTATTTACTCTAAGGCTCCTCACACATTGCAGACTTAAATAATATTTATTAACTTTATTCTTACTTGGCTTGGTTGGCATCCTTCTTTGCTGTCTGAAGTTCAAGAACCATTTCTTCCTTTTCCTTTTGTAGATTGATAACTTCCAATTCTAGATTTTTTATGTTATCCTGAAAATGGTATTGGCCAGAAATAAAGAAAGCATTATAATATACAGGAAGAAAACTGCTTCTCCATTCCATATCTTAATAACTATGCATTCAATCATTTCCTTATTTGTAAGCTAAAAGGTTTGTATTTGATTTGACAGAGCTTAAAATTGAGGTGGGAAAAGTATGAACTTCGCACCCAAAGGCTTGGAGTTCAAGCCTTCTGTTCAATACTTACTATGTAAATACCTTAAAGAAAGTTATTTTGTGTCTTTTAATCTTAGTTTTATGCAAAAAGTGCTCATCTATAACCCAGCTGAGATTTCCATGCTATTGACCATTAAAAATGTTTGTTTGCAAAAGAGAAAAAAATATCAAAACATCTTGCTTGCAAGACTGGCTCTTTCTTTATGTCTGATAACTTGGAATTTGGTAGGATTCTCAACAGTTCCCAAGTGATTATAGTGAGTAACTATTAAATGGTATAAATAATATAGTTTATCCGTATGCTTTTGTTATGGGAATCTAGAACTATATAGAGATAAAGAATGACATCTGGTGACTGGAGAGATAGTACAAGAGAAAAGGCACTTACCACACATGCAGCTGACCCCGGTGTTCTCCCCACCACAGCATATGGTTGCCCAGCACGATTAGAGGTCACAGCTGAGCACTCCCTATACCCACTCACGCATCCTCCCCCCAAAAAAGAGAATGACCTTGGATAAAAATTCTGGATAAAAATCCTTCACTCAAAAGGGCTTTCTGAGACAAAACATATGTTGTTATAATTCACTGCTAGAGAAATACATATCTTGTGACTTCGCTTAACACAGTCTCTTGGAAGCTTACATGTGGTTTCCTTTGGAAGCTGCTCTGTGAACTTTTCCTCTTTGCTGATTTTACTTTGTAATTTTTCACTGCTATAAATCTTAGCTGTAATTCTGACTATATGATAGGTCCTGTGAATCTTCCTGGTAAACGATCAAGCATGGGGTACTTGGGAATGGTCTTAGAAACCTAAGAGTTTCCCTATCCATGAAAAAACAATAGTAGCACCTACCTTACAGAGTTTGTTGGGAAGATGAAATAAGAAAAATAATGTCTCAGACATTTTATAAACTGTAAAGAGCTGTACAAAGTTTTTACATTCAGAATTTCCAAATATATGTATTCATATGTATTCAATAGCAATTGCAGTTCTGCATGCATTTAGGAAATTTAGGAAACAATTTAGGAAACAAATTTTGCATGCATTTAGGAAACAAATTCTAGATACTGAAATTTGGTAGTTTGCAAGATTGTGAAAATCCAGTGATTACTTCCCGTTCTCATAATTGGAAAAAAAATTAAAGGATACTGAATGAATGAGTAATCGGCAGCCGAAAAGATTATGTGCAGGCTTTAGAACCGTATTGAAATGACATACAAAGAAATTGAGGCAGGTTAGATGGAACTTTATCAGAAGCGTTCTTAATAGTGAAGAGCTGTTTATCAATTACTGAGCCATTTCCGTATAACCTCAGAATCAATCTCATTGCTTTATAGTTCTCTGCATATAGACCAAAATAATGGTCCAAAACATTATGTATACGTATACTTAAAGAAGTAACACGTGAAAGTATTATTAAAAATGCATTGCACTGTCCTCCCGTTGTTCAATGATTTGCTCGAGCGGGCCGGGTAACATCTCCATTGTGAGACTTGTTGTTATTGTGTTTGACATATTGAATACGTCACGGGTAGCTTGCCTGGCTTTGCCGTGCGGGTAAGATACTCTTGGTAGCTTGCCGAGCTCTCTGAGAGGGTGGAAGAATGGAACCTGGCTCAGCCAGGCCAGCCACACGCAAGACAAACACCCTACCACTGTGCTATTGCTCCAATCATACATATAAAAGTTATATATTTTAGACTAATGCCAAAAATCTAGTCCCCTTTCCAGGTGTACCACTGTTACCAATTTGATTCAGATTTTCACAAGACTTTCTTAAGAAATCTATATATTATATAACTGGTCACATGCATAATACAGACATTTACACAAATATATAAATTCCTAGAATATATTTATATATAATTAAGATAATTTTGTGGGAAATACAAAATAAAGGTATGTGAGTAGATATAATACACGTTTTTGTGCATGTATAGGCAACATTCGGTTGTGCTCAGGGGCTCTCCTAGCTTGGTGCTTGAGAGTCTCTCCCAGTGGTGTTTGGGATAGAAGCCTGGCCTCCTGTATGTAAAGCATTTTCTCCATCACATTATCTTTCTGGCTTCAAAACTTGCCTTTTAAGAGATTTCATTATTACTGAGATAGTATCGTTGACTTTTGATGTACAGTTATTGCATCACTAGCACCAAAGGACCAAAGATGCCTCCACCATTGTCTTTGTAATTTCTAGTATGCTGTTCTGCAACCCCCTCCTCCCACTTGGTAACCTTAATTCTGTTATCAGAGCCCAAGGATTTGTTTTATTAGGTACTGTCCATTGCCTTGCTTTGTATCCTTACATATCACAGATGAGATCATCCAGCATTTGTATTTCTCCCTCTGACTTACTTTGCTTAATGTGCCAATGTCTAGATCCAAATTTTAGCATAAGGTAATATTTCATCTTATTACTGAGCACATTTCACTTTTTTTTGCTTTTTGGGTCACACCTGGTGTTGTACAGGGGCTACTCCTGGCTCATGCCCCCAGGAATTACCCCTGGTGATGCTCGGGGGACCATATGGGATACTGGGAATCGAACCCCGGTTGGGCCGTGTGCAAGGCAAATGCTCTACCTGCTGTGCTATCGCTCTAGCCCCTCACTGAGTATTTTTACCACTGTATATCTACTCATCTGTTTGTAGGCTACTAGGTTGTCTCTAGTGTTTGGCTATAAGAAAGAGGACTGCAATGAACAAAGATGTTCATATATCTTTACAAATTAATATTCTTGGGGGATGCCAAGGAGTGGGGATCACTGAACCTCAATATATGGCAGTACTACTTATTATAATCTTTGGAAATTCTCCATACTATTTTCCATAGAGGCTAAACTAGACAACATTACCACAACGTGAATGAGGGCTCCATTTATACTATACTATATTGCAACCCAAACTGATGTTTCTGTACTTTTTGATATAGGCTATTCTGACTGCTGTGAGATATTTCATCGTTGCTTAGATATACATTTCCACAGTAATAACTGACAATGAACTCTTTTCATATACCTCTGAGACATGTGTATCTCTTTCTGAGGAAGCATCTATTCAGGTCATCACTACTTTTTTTATTGAGTTGTATTTTTGGTAAGTTTTGTGAGTGACTTATCTATCTTGGATATTAGCTTTTTGCCATATGTATGGTGTGTGAATACTTTCTCCCACTCATTACTGTGGAGTTTTTATTTCACTCCCATGAACATTAATTTCCATTGTTTCTTTTACAGTGCAGTAATTTTTGAATTTGATGTAGTCCCATTTATTATTGCTTTATTATTTGCCAGTGGTGTTGAATTGTCAAAGACTTCTTGGAAGTCAATATCATAGAGAGTTCTATGGTCTAATATTTAGGTTTTCATTATGGATTAACTTGTATATAGTATGAAAAAGAGGATTACATTCACTTTTTTGGCATATGGCTAAGCAGTTTTCTTAGCATCACTTGTTGAAGATGCTTTACTGCCTCTATTTAATGCTCCTACCTCCTTTGTTATTAATGATCTTTACTGCAACTTCTATTGAATACATTGAATATTGAATATATTCTTGTTTACACTTTTGATTCTTTTTTTGTGCTTTTTGGGTCACACCTGGCGATGCATAGGGGTTACTCCTGGCTCATGCACTCAGGAATCACTCCTGGTGGTGCTCGGGGGACCATGTGGGATACTGGGAATTGAATCCGGGTTGGCCGCATGCAAGGCAAACACCCTACCCACTGTGCTATCTCTCCAGCTCCAATTCATGTTTCTTTAAGTTGGTTTTAAGTTCATTTTTTTTTTGGAAATTGTGAATGGGATCATGTTTGTATGTTTCTGTGAATTTGTGAATGGGATTTCAATTGATTTCTTGGAATCTGGAGAGATAGTACAATGGATAAGGCACTTGTCTTACACGTGGCCAATCTGGGTTTGATAACTGGCACCGCATATGGTCCTCCAATCCTGCCAGGACCGATTCCTGAGTTCAGAGCCAGGTATAAGCCCTGAATACTGCTGGATGTGGCCCAACAAACAAACAAAAAATATATCCTCTTATTCTTGCATATACAAATACAATGAGTTTCTGCCTATTGATTTTGTAGAATGCCACCTGTTTAGGTTATAAATAAAGGGCTTATTATTCCTGTCTTTTGAAAAGGTTCTATTTATAATATCTAAGAGGTTCTATTTTATAACATGTCATTTACAAATAGTGATGGCTTGACTTCTTTTCCAATTTGGATTCCTTTGATATCACTTTCTTTCCTGACTGCTATGTCAAGAGCTTCCAATACTATGTGAATAATTGTGGTAAAAATGGCCATTCCTTATCTTGTGCCCGATCTTAAGAGGAAAGACTTTAAGTTTGTGTTTTTTTCCCCACAGAGTATGATGTTAGCTACAGTTTGTCTTCACTACAGCCTACATTTTTTCTATACTTATTTTGTTGAGAGTTTTAATTTTTTTTACTTTATTTTTTGGCTCACAGTATTAGAAATAATGGTTTGTCATGGGTGTTATTCTGACACCACACTCATCACCAGCGTACCCATCTCCTTCCCCTCTCTCCCTCTCACTCCTCCCAACTCAATTGTCAGTCCCAACTTATTTTGCCTTTGGATCTTTGTTGCTGCCTCACTGTGCATCTGTAAGTATCACATATGAGAGAGATCATTCTATACATGTCCCTTTCATTCTGAGTGACTCCACTCAGCATTTTATCTGTTGAGTGTTTTTTAAAATCATGAATGGGTATAGACTTTGTCAAATTCTTTGTGACTAAATTAAACATCTATTCACTGATCATACTGGACAAGATCTGAG